TTTTTTCTTTTATATTTTATTCATATTTATTTAATTATTTTTTTTTTCCACCGTTCGGCCAGTTTAAATACCTCACTCCATCTTCAGCAAATTTCATTAACCTGGCTGTCTCCCATGGATCCTTCGAACTCCGTCAATGGCTTCTACAATTTCCTTACACGGGGCATAGACGACCTCGAACGTGTGTTCTGTTCGAGCAGTTTCATGTCTGTCCAATTCTTACAGAGGGCTTTGGCCCTTTTGAGGTCTCTCCACAGCCAGATGACGCTTTTGGTCCAGAAGCTCCACTTGCCCGTCGGCGAGAAGTGGCTCGACGAGTACATGGACGAAAGCTCCAAGCTTTGGGAGGTCTGCCACGTCCTCAAGAATGGAGTTTCGGGCCTCGAGAGTTACTACGCTTCGGGCCTCAACGTCGTCGCCTCTCTCGACGGCCATCGCCGCCTGAGCGCGCAGGTTTCCCGTCAGGTGAGTATGAAAAAGGAAAATAAAAACCTAATCTTTACTGTCTCAGGCTCTCATGCGTTTGTTCTGTTATACTCGATCTGTGTGTAGGATTTCAAGATTCGATTTTTAGCACTTATTCTCTTACTTGGTTTTTTATGAGTTGGTTGATTGATTTAGCATTTGATAAAATCAGAAAAAAAAAAATCCCTTTTCTTTTCCCTCTCTCATTTTCCTCTCATTTGATTTTACTAATTCATTTGAAATTCTTTGATCCAAAACAGGTTATCCGGGCCATATCGGGCTGCAGAAGGGAAGCAGTGGGCCTGGAGCAAGAAAACCGGTCCCTAATGGAAACAAGAATCGAGCCCCTCTCGTTGAAATTCGACGAGAAAGTCGCAGTCGAGTCCAAGCTCAACGGGTTCAATGGGTTCCGAGGCGTGCTATACGCCATGAGGAACGTGAGCTCACTCTTGCTCACGATCCTGCTGCACGGGCTCGTCTATTGCTGGCCCCACCCGAACCTATCGACAAACGGGTACGAACAAGGGAGGCTGTTTTTCGGGTCGGCCTTCATGATATCCACGGCCCGTTTGCACCAGCGGGTCGTATCTGAGATTGACCAGGTCACTGGTCGGGCCGGAGTTCTGCTTTACGAGTTCAGGAGGTCGAGGGCTGCCATGGATGAGCTGAGGGGTGAGCTTGAGAGGAGGTGCTCACAGGGGACTGTGGTTGAGTTGGAAGCTGAGGTTGGGTTGAGGGAGAGGGTTGAGGGGCTCAAGTGCAATTTTGGTAACTTGAGGGCTGGGACTGAGAATATTATTGGGCAGCTTGATGATTTCTTTGATGAGATTGTTGAGGGTAGGAAGAAGCTCTTGGATTTCTGCAGCCATAGGTAGGGAGGTTATAAATGATAAGTAAATTTTTCTCTTTTGGGTTCTTTT